GGTTGCTGAAACAGAAAGTATCTATCGTGAAGACAGACACACAGCCTCGCTCCGTTGATTTATCATGCATTTCCACGTTCTGTAGATTTCTACTTGTGGACTGGAATGCTGATGGATACCAATTCCATGTTAAGTGAGATGGACTGGAACGGAGTGGAACGCACCAGCTGCTGATCTGTGCTAATGATTAAGCTATTTTAAGTCATGTAAATGTACTTAAGTTACCAGGAGTAACCATAAACAGAACAAACGCACACAGGCATCCATGCCTTGAGAGGGATTCGAACCCACGATTCCAGCGAGCGAAGATAGTTCATGCCTTAGACCCCGCGGTCACTGTGATTGGCAGGCTTTTGTGACCACCTACTTTTGTGCTGTGTTTTGTTTGAGTGTGATATGTTATTTTGTATGGTGTGTCTTATTGCAGTATTACTGCCACCGGATAAAAACCCATTTGCAGTTTAAATAAATAAATAATAATAATAAACTTTCTGGAGCAATTAAAAGTTTCCATAGGTTGTTGATCTTACAGAAAATTACACCAAATAACCTTAGGATGCCTCAGTTACCTCAGCTTAACCTTGGATATATCGAGTTGCCTGAAGTGACTTAACGATCAACATGAAACAACATTTCTCAGCAGCTCGACAGTTCGAGAACCAATGGAAATCATCGGACTATAACTGAATTTGGCAGGAGTTAAGAAAGCATCTGAGCTCTAAATAAATTTGGGGCGCCTTCCTAAGCTGTTCAGTTCTCTCGATTTTAACAAATATTTACTCCCACGCGAGTGAGGCTTCAAATAACGGTATTCAGAATCCGGAAACATTTTGCTAAGCATCACGAACACTAACGAAACGCCGGTGAAATTCGATATGACTTCAGAATACAAACTTTCCTTCTGGGAGAATCGGCACTGGTCGGAAATCCTATAAATTAACTGTGCATTCAAGTTTATTTTCGCTTATTGTCGGTTTATATATTAATCATGAAATATCTCTTAAATATATTGTCTGTCGTTATTGAATGTCCTCTGAAACTGACGTCATGTTGTAGAAGGAATTACAATTTTTGTACACCGGCTGGCTAGAAATGTATTCGCCCACAGCGTCCACTACTAGCAGCCGAACCGTCGCTTCGCCATTTGATGCTTGCTTGTCTTATCCCAATAAAACTGATGTTTAACGTAGTTGTATTGTATTATACCGACGGACCGCCTCTGTGATCTAGTGGTCAGAGTTCTTGGCTACAGACCCAGAGGTCCGGGTTCGATTTCCGGCGCTACCAGATTTTCTGAGAAGTAGTGGCTCTGGAAGGGGTTTGCTCAGCCTCATGAGGATAATTGAGGAGCTATTTCAAGGAAACAGCGACTCCGGTCTAGAAAACCGAAATTAACGGCCGTGGGAATTCGTTGCGCTGACCACGCGACACCCTCTATTCGCTAAAGTTTGCACTAAGTTCGCCGACAAACGGCGGTCGCTCGGTCGATATAGTTCGCTTGCGGACTAAAACCACGGAGTTATTATACTGACTTGGGACGGGATAGCAGAAAGCCCATAATAGGGCTCAGCCGAGATCTCAGTTGCCGTGAGAGGGGGATCTCCCGCTTTGCGGCCTCTGCTAGGCTTTCTTGTGTTTTTACAGGACACTGAAGACATAAAGCCTGTAACCCACGCCTGTCGGTTGACGTCAGGGTCAACATAGTCCACACCACTCTTCCGGCTTGACCCACAACCGATGTCTCAGTTCCTCAAGAGGGCCCTTCTTATGCTAGCGGGTCTCATGCCCCCCCCCCCAAAGAGAAAGCCTCACCCTAAGTCCAACCTCGTTAGTGTCCCTGAGAGGTTTTGCTGCCGCAGAGAAATCTGCTACTTCCCACAGAGTCCAGCATACAATGGGATATTGAATTGTATCCCTAGGGCTGTGTTCAGCACACTGTTCCCTCGGTGCCTCGGCACAGTGTCTCACACCTTAACTTAGGACGCCACCATGCCAGCCTGTCTGCCCCCAGGCAGGCCAGCCTGCTGCTTCCAAGGCCCGCCACGAGGAGGCAGTTGGAGCTACTGTATTCCCTTTCACACGGCTTTATCTCATTGAGACACGTGCAAATACAGTTCCCTGTGTTGTCAAATGGATTGCTAAGGGATGAAATATGGGTGAAATATGAACGGATATGATTCGAATATGATTATTCGTACAAAGTTCTTCATGAAAGCAAAGCAACGATTTACAACTACAGCCTACGGGGTCGATGGTGCAGATTTCCCATGTTATGTAAAAATATAGCTATGCCTTCGTCAGTTTAACTACTGGTGGGGTCACCCGTGCCGGAAAGGTCAAAGGGTAGGGTCCAGACTAAAAGAGATACCCAGGTCCTCCAGGTTGGTGTGTTTGACATGAGGCTAACAACCTCATCCTGCAAAAATAATTTTGTTCAGAAACCTAACAGCCAGCCTCAGGTCAACATGTGTGGGTCCATTCCTATGGCAGCACGCATTGGTTGTGGGGACTGGTTGTAGAAGTGACCGAGGCTCACCCAGGGCTGTAGCGCCCAGTGGTAGATAGGTGGTTAGGTATGTAAAAATATAAGTATTAAAATATAGCACAATTTCTCCTCGTGTCTTGTGTAGGTTTGGAACTAGGTCTCTCATATTAAGGGATAAATCATAAATTGGGTACAACAGACAAGAACGTACTGAGGCGAATACTTAACCTATTTTTTTATTGCTAGTGGGGTGGGACTAAGTCCCTTGTACTGCGGCCACTTCTGGCCTATTGTACTAGCCCAAGATGATAGGTGAGGGTGATTGTGGAGCAGTTGGTGGAATGAAGATTGGCAGGGGAAAGCGAAGTACTCGGGGAAAACCTGCCCCATCGTCACTTTGTCCACCACAAATTCCAGTTGACCAGACCCGGGATCGAATCCTGGCCGCCGCGTTGGGAAGCCAGCGACTAACCGCTTGAGCTATGGCGCGGCCCAATACTTAACCTAAGACAAAGAACTATCACGTGGATGGAGAACACTGAACAATTTATCACAATTTATCCCTTAAACAAATGGTACTGCGGTCAGCAAATCAAGACTAATAAATCGTTGAGGTATATAGCAGCTTGAGTGTGATTTGAAATGTTGGCAAAACTGAAAGGAAGAGGCCACGAGGATGTGATGATAATGTATATGACGAAACGTAAAGAAACAGCTGGTAAAGTGCACTGGATTATTGCGCGTGAAAGCGCTTTAATCGAGCTTCGATTCCCATGAAATGCGTGAAACTTCTTAAAATTCTAAAGGGTTCTGACGATGGTGGATGACACACAGAATTACTGGGTTTTTGGACTTTTTCCATCGTCCGGAATTCTAGGTAATAGAGGACACGACATTTCGGAAACTGGCTCTGTTTCCGCCTTCAGGTGAGAAAGGAAGACACCCTCTCAGTTGGGCCCCTTACACAGAGTTCGTATCCTCTAGTACCTAGAATTCCGAAAGATGGATATAAAGTCCAAAAGCCAAGCAATTCTTGCAAATCTGTGTCACTATCAGCTTCTCGCGGGCACTACTCCATGGAGTTCGTGACCTGGTTACTTAACACCAACAACATACACAAACCTGTGTCTCTACTTGATATTTATTATAATTCTCACTATTTCGGAAGTATGGAGAGGAAAACGAAAATATGAGGAGTGTGGAAAGAAGCAACGAAACTTATTCCCTTCATCGCTGCTCTGGATTATGTTGAAAGCCGACATACAGCAAGTTTCTTCGTCAAAAATATTAATATTTTTCTTTCTTGATTTTATTTCGTTCACAACTTCCTTGATGGTGAGCTTTCTGACCCCTTTTTCCTTTCTTGAAAGCTGTGATGTCATTTCTAACCGGAAAGAAGATGGCACCTTACAGTATAAACACAGCATAAACACACATATCTACATAAACACTGCCTCCCGCTGCTTCCTCTGTGAGGAAGGCTGGATGTTTTCTTTAGACAGATCTGTGGTGGGAATTCCGAGGAGACCCGCTAGCTCGACCCCTCACCCTTAAACTAATATTTTTCCATTCTGTGGTTTCTGTTATTCTGATCCAACCGGGTTATGCATTTGGTTGCATATAGGACTCTCCGTGTCAGCTGTACCAAAGTCTCGTTCCCAGCATTAGCGAAGCGCTGCCAATACATAACATTCAAAATTACGTTAACAGTGCTATTGTAAGTAACGGATCACTCCTACTTGTAAATCTTCTAATTGTGTGTGAATATACGAAACTCGTTATTAGTTCTTTTTTCTTCTGCCTCCCTTCACAATTTAGGTTCATAGATGCTCCAAAGTCACAGCCTTATTTTCCATGACATCCCTTGTGTTCCTACGAAAAGAAACTCCGTGGCCTATAGTCCGCAAGCGAACTAGACTGACCGAACGACCGCCGCTTTTCGGCAAACTTAGTGCCAACTTTAGGGGATAGAGGGTGTCACGTGGTCAGCGCAACGGATCCCCACGGCCACTAATCTCGGATTTCTAGACCGGATATGTTCCTATGATGTGTACTTAAACGTTTGCTTTGGGAGCTTGACAGTTTTCATTCCGCCCAGATGATTTAACCATTTTCCACTACAATCATTTATTGAACAGACGTTTAATTTTTCCATCTATCTTTTTGCATCTAATTTTATCTAATCTGGTTCATCCATTGACAGTTGTTAAGGAGTCCCTTACTGCTGCTTGGATTTCACAGTGTTTGTACCTATTTCAGTGCATGTTTCACTGGCATATAATGCAGTAGAAGCTTTCTTTATATTTAAAAGTTTCACCTTCCTTCTCTCACTTTCATTTCTAGCGTTTTGTGCATTTCCTAACATTCAGTAAATTGGTGTGTTTTGTTCTGTGTCTGTTTTATGCAGCAAGTTTTATCCTAAATATTTGAAGGGCAAAACTTGTTATAGTTGAAAACCGTATCATGTAAGATGTAGCACCATGTAGTCTGATACAAGGTAACTGTTGTTTCGCAGGAACATGCTGCCTCCATCTTCAGTCTTCAAAGAATATTTAATCAGCAAGGATAAGGCGACAGCTGTCACCGCTGTAAGTAAATAAAGATTGTTATAACTGAACATAAATAATTACTTTGCAGCTAACTTTATATTTTACGTTATTTTTTTGTAGATTTTTTCATTATCGCGAAGAGTTTGAAAAACGAAAAGGAATTTCGACAAATCTCCTTCAGAATCTGGGGGATTTGGCACGGATTATTTAATTTTTAAGGTAACTTGAATAATATTCATGTGGAAGTAGATAATAATTTTTGTGATTAGCAAAACAGCAATTGTTGTTTCGATCATTGTTGAAAGAAATATTTACCTAGCCAACTCTATTGACCCATCTGACCGCTTCCACTGAGAATTAATTCAGAATCAGGGAACCCACCCTAGGTGGGGGATCGGCAACTCTAGGGCCTTCAGCCACACAGAAGTAGCAGGCATGCGCCCATGTCTAGAACAGGATGTGCATGCGCTGTCGCAGCGCTTGCGCTGTTCAAGACCACTCGGCCTCTCAAATGGTCCTGTTGTGAAGTACTGCGCAAGATCCCATCATATAAAGTAGACGTAAGACTGGTACACAGCAGTTGTGTGTTATGTAGGTTATGAGACATATTTGAAAGGACACAGATTTGAATACGACCTTGAGTTTTCTCGTGTCTTTTCAGTTCGCCAGAAAATTAACGGGAAACATACTACAGCTTTTACCGTCTAACCCCTTAATGGAACTGAAATAAAGAAAAAGTCATTCTACACTGTCCTATAGTAGACATAAGTCGAAAATCTAAATGAGTCTATAATGTTTTTTTTTCTACACAATTATTAACAATTCTTCTTCTTCTACTATTATATGTCATTACGCTAACAGTAGACATTCTACGTGTGGCTTGTGCCATTTTATATTATGTCACAAGCATAATTATACAATGCTGACAGTATGCATACTATACAGGGTGTCCAGAAAAGGATTAGAGGCTATAAATGAGTATTTTTTTTTCCTGTGGCGCTACAGCCCCAATTTTGGCCTAGGACTACCTCCATAAAACTCTCCGTTTCACTTCGGTTAACTAGATATTACACATACGGTAGGACTCCTTGGGCGAGTGATCAGCTCGTCGCAAGGCCTCTACCTGTAGACAAACACAGAAAGACGCACACAAACATCCATACCCTGTGTGGGATTCGAACCCACGATCCCGGCTTCCGAGCGAGCGAAGACAGTGCATGCCTTAGACCGCTCGGCTACTGTGACCGGCATAAATGAGTATAGTATTCACTTTAATGAGCAAAAATGCGAGTATGTTCAGAAACTAACACCTGTTGAGAAATGAGCGATGTTCATGTGATCTCTACAGCAATTTTCTCTGTGGCTCCCATGAATTTCAACACAACTTTCAGCTCTCCGTCACAGAGAGGTGCGCACTCTATCTAAAATTCCTGGTTTCATCCGAACCTCCTGAGAGACATTCTCTCCTCTTTACTGTGATACTTCTAAGACATTGATCGGCGCTGAATAAACCAAAGTATTTGGGTGTCCCCACAGTCAAAAATCCAGAAATTTAAGACTAGGTGGTAGTGCAGGCCAAATGAGTTGACATCGGCGTCCAATCCACTGTCAGCCGAAAATCTGGTTCAGGTGGCGTCTCACAATGAGGAACAAATGTGATAGTGCCCCATCATCCACGAAACACATGTTTTGTCGTTGGTGAAGAGGTACTGATAAATCATTGACCAGAAACCGATGATACACTGCAACTGTTAGCCAGTGAGGTAAGACAGCTACTCCCGAGAGTTGATCACCTAACAAGTAACATTCCCATTCGGACATGAATATTTTGAAAGTTCACCATACTGTCTTTTGTGAACCCCGCCTCACCGGTAAACAGGATGTTAGCTACAAACTGTGTGTTTACAGGGTAGTTTGCGAGAAAACCCCACCGTTGCACGGTGGCCAGGAGGAGTGAGGGCTTGCACTTGCTGGGTGTGGTATGGCTGAAGTGATTATTCATGGGGAATTCTCCAGACAACAGGAGGCTGGAGAAAACTGCATAATGAGGAGCTTCATAACTTGTACTCTTCTCCAAGGATAATTAGAATAATAAAGTCAAGGAGGATGAAATGAGTAGGACATGTAGCACGAATGGAGGTTAGGAAAAATGCATGTAGGATATTGGTGGGAAAGCCGCAAGGGAAGAGACCACTGGGAAGACCAAGACGTAGGCGGGTGGACAATATTAAAATTGTTCTCAGAGAGACAAAATAAGATGTTATTGATTGAGTTGATCTGGCTGAGGATAGGGACCGCTGGAGGGCTCTTGTGAACACGGTAATGAACCTTCGGGTTCCATAAAATACTGGGAAGTTCTTGAGTGGCTGCAGAATTGGCAGATTCTCAAGAAGGGCTCAGCTCCATGAATGAGTGTAACAGTATACTAGAGCATACGCGAGAAAGTAAAACTGAGGAACTTGTTAACCGACCAAAGGTTTGCCAACCGCAACTGTGAGTTACTGTAGAACGGCCATGTGTTGAGCACACGTGGTTGTGTGCTCAGGGCTTCCAGATGAGCGGTGCGATGCAGAGTAAATTTGACGTCATTTGTCATTAGTGGTAAGGAGTAGAAGTAATGGTATTCGAAAACCGCCCTTTATTCGATATCCAAGAGATTTTATTTCTTATCTAAAAGCTGCTGGATTCCTCTTGCAGTGCGCCATAGCGCAGTTCATTGAGAGCAGCAGGCAGAATTGAAGTGTGGAGGGGGGGGGAGTCTGACGCGTCTTAATTAATTAGTGTGAATTGCTGGCAGCGGTCTCGTTTACCCAGCCAGTGGATGATCGCGTTCTGGCAAAACACTGGGCACGGAGGTGCAATTCATAGACCCCCAGCCAACATTCACCTTGAATAGCTCGTATTATTTCCTGGACTTCAGATGATATAATGAAATAACCCTCGGTGTGCATCACATTTACGAAATCCAGTTGGTGTGCGTTTGCTTGCGGTATTTGTTTGCGTCCACAGAGAACGTGAGCCGCAGGGAAAACTTTGAGGTCATAGCACCACTTAAGACCACATTGCGCTCACAGTGGACTTTGTTAATATTGGTGTCTGAAATATGGTAACAATATTCGAGTTGCCTCGACGTATCAAACGATAACTCATGTTCATAACTTTCATATCTTCTGTGATAACAAAAGCAAGTGACCAGCACCCACCGAAACTGTTCTGATCTTATGTAGGGGAAGGAAGGAAGGAAAGGTGACCAATAACGGGATGCTTACGGAGATAAAGAAATGAAAGGGGAAATGTGGAAGAAGAAAAGTTAAGGATTACTTAATTACTAATGGAGCCGAGCCTTTCTTGAGGAGAGACCAAATCTGTAGCTAGTCAAGAACTTCCCAGAATTTTATGGAACCCGAAGGTTCAGTGCCGTGTTTACAATATCCCTCCACTGGTCCATATCCTGAGCCAGATCAATCCAATCATCCCATCCTATCTCTCTGAGATCAATTTTTATATTGTTCACCCACCTACGTCTTGGTCTCCCCAGTGGTCTCTTTCCTTCCGACTTTCCCAGCAATATCCTATATGCATTCCTCTTCTCTCCCATTCGTGCTACATGCCCTGGCAACCTCATCCTCCTTGATTTAACCATTCTAATTATACTTGGAGAAGAGTAGAAGTTATGAAGCTCCTCATTATGCAGTTTTCTCCAGCCTCCTGTCAGTTCATCTCTCTTCGATCCAAATATTCTCCTCAACACTCTGTTCTCAAACACACTCAGACTATGTTCCTCCCTTAATGTCAGAGACCAAGTTTCACACCCATACAGAACCACAGAAAAATTACAGTTTTGTGTATTCTAATAATAAATTAATTTTCTGGATAGATCGAACTTTTGTTTTGGCAAAAAAGTGAAAACCAGATTACGGGACTTTGTAATTGTTAGATATTAGATTATATTATAAATTAAGAAACTTCCCTTCGGATTCTCAGTGGTCTTGCATTAATATTCTAACTTCTTAACTTTGTCTGTTTTCATCATAACTGATCTTGATTATGTTTCTGTCTCGCTCTCTCTTGAACCGCCCAGGCCTTTAAACAAATGCGATTTGAATTGATTACATAAAACCATTTATTACACCCCTCCCTGGATCGTACGTAGATATGAATGATAATCCGTGTGAGCTGTTTAACAATGACTAAAGAAAAGGGGGCCATATTAGCGAGAAATGGAGATGCATAAGAGAAGTGCTTCCTACCGCCCCTTGCTGCCACTTGAAGTCGCTCGAGGGTGTGTACTAACTGCATCCCTGCTGCGTAGGGGAGTCTACCTCTCTTCCGATACATATCAGCACTGAAGGCATAAGGAAATCCAATTATAAGCAATTAACTCCTTTAGGGAGAATTCCACAGCGGCTCAGTAAAGTGAGGACTACGGATGTGGTGTTCGGGGCGCTGCAACAGTTTGTGGTGCCTGCACGGGGGTCATACTGCAACGAGAAGGCGATGCAAGTTTTGAGATATTCACATCTGCTGGCGTTCAGTTTGTGATCTTCTACTTTCTGACACTGCATAGCCTTTGGGTGGATACCGTCGTTTCGGAGGATCTACAGAGTTCGCGGAAATGGAGCTAGCGTGATCCTCCGCAAAACTTTGATATAAAGTTACGAGACTACGGGCGGTGTCACAACCCAGAGCACCAAAATCTAGACAAATTGATTGTTACGTTATGGGGCGTACTCAGTTTTACATATATCTCAAGAATTCAGCACACGCGTTGTGTTAGATTGGACACTGGGATGGATCGAGTCCTGCTATCATGTGGATGCATGGCGCACATTCGTGCTTGATGCCCAGAGGTCGCATTCTTTCAGAATTAGTTCTTATTGTTGGTATCTTACTCATTTACTTACTTATGGAGCTGAGCCCTACTTGAGGAGAAGCCAATTCTGCAGCTACTCAAGAATTTCCCGGCATTTTATGGAACCCGAAGGTTCATTACCGTGTTCACAAGAGCCCTCCACTGGTCACTATCCTGAGCCACATCA